TCCCTTGTACGACGTCCTCCCTTCCTCGTCAAACGAACCTAGCTCTACCTTATCTAGGCTCCACGTGTCTAGACTGTTAGGACGCCACCGAGGGTGGATGGATTCACCCTTGAACTCGGAAGCGCGATCCAACTCTGTGACAAGTGCGGCGAAGACGTGCCGACACTGCAGCCCCCGCCTCATGAGCTGCAAACACGTACACAGCTGAAAGCCGTCTGGACCTATGACTACGAGGTGGCCGAACTTGCGCCGTTTGTATACTACTTTGACAACGGCATCTATGTCGACGTAGGCAACAAGGCGATAAAATGATTGCAAACACGTGGTACCAAACATGGACGTATCAGGATGTTTTTTCCCGTCGAAGACATCAGCGGGTACCTGACAGCATACATCTCCGTTTCCATCATTGTTGTGCAGTCAGGTCTTCGAGGAACCGTTTTGACTCTCGTCCCTCCACTAGGGCGGTGGTGTCATACGAGTCGCTTGCAACCATCTCGGCCATGATTTCCTGGTTGGCGTCGGGAAAAAGGACGACACGAAACCGAACGAAACGGTTGTGGACTCTCGGTGGGCAGGTACACTAACCTGTCTTTTTGAAGCTATCGTCAAGTTCATATACGAGAGATGTTATCGCGGCGCTTACCCGTCGAGCGTAGGTGCTGGCTCCTGCTTTCTCGTATTCTTTCATGACGGGTTCGATGGCTTTCTTCACGTAGTCCTCCATGTGGGCAAATCGGAGGGAGCCCGCCTTGATGCTTAGCCTGCACGGAGACAAACAGCGCACGGCAGTGATGCTGGTGATGGTGAAGAAGCTGGCTCAACAGTATGCGAAACACCAAGCAAGAGTCCGTACATGCCAATACAATGGATCAGTATGAAAATATGATACAAGGCAACACGCGCTGTTACCCCCCTGGACACCCACATTCTTGATGCCAGCGCGAGATCCTCAGCAACAGTTTCCACCCTCTTCCTTACTGCGCCAAAGGTGGAGTTCTTCCTGACGGCACCACCGTTCTTGATAACGCTGAAGCTGCCCTCCACACGCTGCGAGGCTGTCATGCCCAGGGTCATGGTCGTGGGATGATAGCAGCGTGCCCAGTGCTTGCGTTGACTGGAGAAACAAGTGCGGTATCGGGTGTTGCGGAAGAAGAAATAAACAACAGCATGCTGTCACTATTGGACGAGTTCGTCCAAAATATATTAAAGTCCACTCACTTGTATAGGTAGCCGTTGATGTATTCCTCGCAGGGTGTGCCCTCCACAACCTCCTTCAGATGATTCCAAATGCGTTCGAATGTCTGCGGACGGGGTCCGGAAGGTCTCAAGTAAGTGGCAAGAGGACTCGAACACAGAAGTTTGTACCTACGTCGATACACGCGGTATCGTTAGTGACCCACCTTCATCGATGTCGCGAATGACGCCGCCGTNGGGGGGGGGGGGGGGGGGGGGGGGGGGGGGGGGGGGGGGGGGGGGCAGCAGGTGATGACTACCAACGGCCTGTTAAGGCGAGAAGACATACATGGTACTATTCCGTTCTATATTCGGACTACAACGCGAACTATGTTTCACGGAGACGACTCCTAGTCACAACCTTATTCGCTCACCTTTGGGTGCCCCCCGCAAATTTCGAGGAGGAATCTGTTCGCAAAGTCAAACGATGATATCTGCTCGTTGCTCAGGAAACCTTGCGCGAAAATGACCGTCTTGTCCTCCGAGTCGACACCCACGAACAAGCAGAGCTTGAAGTCGTACCTGCGTCAATTGGCAACGGGTGATGATCACCAAATGATACCGCCGAATGCTGAGCGAGGTGATACACGCAATTTTCACTACTCTCACTGACCAACGCACCTGTTAGTAAGGCATGTGTTGTCTTGGATGACAATACCGCCATATGTTCTCGCGAGAATGATTTGTTCTGGCGATGCCCACATGATAGACCGCAAGACGTGGTTGGCGTCGGATTCCCATTTCACCGTCGCTGGTC